TCTTCTTCTTCTTCTTCTTCTTCTTCTTCTTCTTCTTCTTCTTCTTCTTCTTCTTCTTCTTCTTCTTCTTCTTCTTCTTCTTCTTCTTCTTCTTCTTCCTATGGAAAGGAAGTCTTCCAGCTCCTTACTTTGTGGTGCCTCTCATGCTATGAGATTGGAGCATGGAGAGTGGATCCCCCCAGCCATTTGAACTGAAGGAAGGGGGAGAAGATGTCATAACCCAGATTATATTTTATGTTTCAAATTTTACACACTTACTTAGTTTTGAGTTTACAAATCTATTATTACTCTTCACTGAAAATGGGGAGAAGAAGGAAGAAATCCTCTTAAAGTAATTAAGAGCTGCAGGCTGGTCAGGATTCACAGCCTACAGCTGGTGCAGAACTACCAACACCCTCCAGCCCTGATTCAACAGGTAAAACTCAGTTGATTGTTTCCAGCCCTCCAGTATCACCCACACCCTTAGAGCGCCGCAGATGGAGGCTACGAACAGACCTACAGGAGAGGCAACGAAGTGCATGCCTCCTGGCCGGACACCAGCTGCTTGAGTAGATGTAGGATTATTCCTAAGCAGCTGGATGGAAGCATGACCCTTAAGCATATGGCTATAAAAACCAGCCAAGGGAGGCTGTTAGGTGTAGAAGCAACAAGTTGAAATCCTTCTGACTCTGTGACCACTGTATTGGATCCTGCCCCTATCCTGTGATTCTCCTGAACTGCTCATGAGTAACCCTTGGATTCTCAGACATTGGATTCTCAGACATTGCTGTATGGATTTACTCTTGGACTAGACTCCTGACTCTGTGCTTAACTGTGGACCCTGACTATGCTTCTTGAGTTGGTGCTCTTGTCTTACTTGCTCCACACTCTGACAGCGTGCCCTATGACATTCCTGGCCCCGCTCGCGACAGATGGGCAAAGTCAACAACTGCCTGTGCATGTACTTTCTCTGTTGTGGTTCTTGCCTTATGGAATGCCCTGTCCAAGGAGGTTAGGAAAGCTCCACTTTCCTGGCTTTCTGCAAACTATGCAAAACTGAACTAATCAAGAATTGTTCACAATCTTACTTGGATAAATGATTAAGGACAGTGGTCTATATTGCTGCATACAGCTTATTGAAAGTAGGATCCTATTATGTAATTTCAGTACCAATTAATGTGTCGTGTGGATACTTATGCTATGCTTTAGTACTTTCTGGTGATTCCATACTAGTAATACATTGATTATTGTGTTGGAACAGACAATGTCTGGTGTAAAAAGAACAGAAGAAGACCCTGAAAGGGCCGCAAAAAGACAATTAGATAGGATCGTGAGGCCAGCACCTTCTCTCCTTTTAGGTGTCATTCCTTGTCTGTCTCCAGATTGCTACTCTTAGCGCAATATCCTGTTCCTTCTTGGAAGTTCCACACTTAGCTAGTACCCTATCTCTGGCTCTTCTTTTTACTATCAAGTATGTTAGTTCCTAAATGAACTTTTATCTACACTTTAATCAGGTAGTGCACCTTTGCTGTGTTAATTACTCTGCCGGCATGTTGAATGTCCTATTTTGTCGAATGAACTGACTCACTATGTGTAATCTGCCTTGAGTCCCTGTGAGAACGGTGGACTCTAAGTAAGTGAGCAAGTAAGGAAATAATTAAATAATCTGGCGAGGGTGGTGGAGGAGAATGCAAACATTCTAGCTCCACATAACTCTTGATCAGGCAGCAAATTTCTTTGAGACTTTAAAGTTTGCATCCTCCAGGGGCTGGACTAGATGACCCTGGAGGTCCCTTCCAACTCTGATTCTATGAGCTCCAAACTTCAGGACTCTGATCCCAAGTAGGCTGTGCACTTGAAGCCTGTCAAGCAGAAAGCCAGCCTTTCAGACAGCTGAATTCTGACTTGAATCACAAACGATCACCAAAAGAAGCCAGAACCTCTTGGGTGGCAAAACCAAAACTTCCAGGCTAGACTTTCTGATTGGTCTGCGGAGTGTGGGTGTGTGCACATGACCTCATTTTCTTTGGTCTCTTGTCTACTCATTCATTTATTTCCTCCTGATGCCAGACCTACCTGACTTATCTATTCTGAAATAGTTTTCTCCCTCAATCACTTTGTAGTCGACGTCAGCATAGCCAAGAAGTGTTGGGTCGTCAGCGTCTACAGCCGTCACTGTGGTGACTGAAGTTCCTGGAAAGAGCAATGAAGATCTCCATTAGCTGCTGCCCATCAATCCTCCTAAACAGACATGGGACCATCAAGTCTCGTATTGGTAGAGAAGTGAAAGGTTGGTTTGCCCATAGATATAGGGGGGGACTCAGGTATACATGAAAATACAAAGAGCATCTCTCACCCCTCTGTCAAACACTGCATGTGCTCTTGGAGGCACAGGGTTGGCTCCTAGCTCTTCTTTCTGATCTGACTTGATTATTTTCATCATTGCAGTTCCCCATCTTGCATGGTTCTTCTCCCTTATCCCCAACACAGCCTTTTTGATGGACAAAGGGGACCCTCCTTTTTTCCACCAGCAGAAAACTGGTTGAATCCAACCTTGGGCTATCCAGGTCAGGGCGATTGTACTACTACGCCCTTCCTTCCTTCCTTCCTTCCTTCCTT